CAGCATTCATGCACGCGGCGCTGTTACCAGCGCGCGCGTCTGTTGTTGGCTGCTGGGCATCTCCGCGGCTGTGAAGCCAAACCGGCCCCTTAGACTTGTTTGTGATCCGTTGCATGGAAGCGCCTCTATCCACCCTTGGGGCGAGGAATGGCTCGAAGACGGCATCCGGTTCACCACGCAAGATGACTCTCATGATGACATGGTCTTGACGGAGGTTCGCACGATAATGCTTGATATAAACCTAGAGACAAATCTATGAAGATTATGGGTACGTCTGTGTGCACCAAGATGAGACTGTTGAGTGATCCCGCACATGGTGGTCCGGAGTACTCAGCATGGCAATGAAGCGCCGCGGCGCGTCGGTGTGTGGGACACTGGACCCATATGCGCCCCCAATACTCATGCAGACGCTGAGAGGCTCCTCGGAGATTCCTCGGCATGCCGCATGCTCTCTCTTTCCTCGACCGCTGGCGATTCTGAACAGCCTGACACTATCTTTTTACTTTGACTATGTATTGCGAGCTACAAGAGCACGGATGGTGACACGACAATGCAAGCTACGCGTACTGTTCAATTCAGTCTTCGGACCGACCACCTTGATACGCAGGCTTGGCGGGCTCTCGCGTTCGCTCCTCGCCATCACCCTCCGCATCCCCACCCCGCCCGTCACCACTTTCCCGCTCCTCCGCATCAAAATCCTTCGCCTGTTCAGAATCCTCCACGTCTGTCTCGCTGTGCGGCAGTGCGGTCCTGACGTGCCCGAGCGTACGATGTGTTTCGAGTATCAAGGCAAGATCCCAAGGCGGAGCTGACTCCTGTAGCAATCGAATAAAACATTCCTTCTCCTGACCCCAGAACCCATGGCCGGCGTGCAGATTCGCCGTGGACGTGCTGTCCGAGTACAACCCACTGCGATGGATGATGGACATGTCTAGCCTGCGTCGTTCCTCATTGACCATGTGTTGCGCGTTCGCCACAATCCTGTACTCGTTGAAGAGGGATCCGTCTGAGCCCCATATGGACGCATCGCGACCACTTCTCCAAGCTGTTGAGATGGCTCCTTGCATGTCTTCGAGGGGTTCGCACAGCCCTCCATTCTCATCAGACTCGCCAAGACAAGTTCGAATCCATTCCACCCAGTCCGAGAACAGGTCGCATTTTTCTCCCAGCTGTTCGTGGATCCTGACAGCCCTTTCATACATGGCTCTGGCATCCGTGAGTCCACCCTGACGCTTCGACAAGACAAGCCCCAACTGGCGAAGAATATTTGCCTGTGTTCGAGGCTCAAGTCCGCGAGACTCGGTCTCGTCGAGAGCTTGTAAGAGCAGTGCAGCTTGGTCTATGCGAGATGGTTGCAACATCGCTAGGCGAAGACAATGATCGCGACAGGGCCCTATGCGACCCAGGCCCAGCTCCCAAAGACCATCGGAAGCCCAAGAGTGTTTGACCGCGTGATCAGCGAGAGTGATGAACATGTCATCGGATAGGTAGTGCTGCAGAATATGGTGACGGATGGGTGAGAGTGTGTAGAAGCGAGTAATCTCAGACAGCCAACCCCGCGGGGGTTCCTCGACATAGATTAGACTGAACTGCCTTAGTTCTGCCAAATAATGACTGACAGACATTGAATGATCCCTGAACGCGGATTCCAATCGCGGTATGTATCCCTCCCAAAGCCCCTCCGGGAAGAGGCAGATGATACAGAGTACGTCAATGACCGCGTTTCGGTCGCTCAGAGCACGAAGTGACAGGTCTATCGATTCAGCGACGCTATACAAACGGTGCTTCTTCCCACCTGTGCGAACGAGGTCGATGTGCTCCTTCTCCCAGCGATCCCAGATCCGCTTCGCACTTCCCTCAACAGCGGCCATGCGCGCGAGCAGAGTGACCGCTAGTGGCATAGAGTCAACCGCATCGACGAGCTTCATGGCGTATTCGTCGTGCTGATCACATATGTCGTCCCAGGTTGCGAGAGCAGCTTCCGGGGAGAAGGGCTGAATGTGGGGGAGGGGAGGTGACGTCCATTTGATAGTCGGTATGCTCGTATCACGGCTCGTGATCAATAGAGCGATCGAGGGCAGCGCAGCGATCTCGTTCAATAGCACCTCGAGCGCAGGCTTATCGGCATCGAGAGGTGTTTCCAAGTTGTCTAGGCAGATAATCCCCGACATTGTCTCCAACTGAGAGAATAAACGATGACATGCGGCCTCAAACGAGCTATTGTCTGCGATAGAACCCCCCAGAGCGTCTGCGAGAGAACGCACGACGGCATCGGCAGTCGTGGTGGCTTCGCACGACATGAAGCAACGCCGATCGTCGTAAAGCGCCCTTACTGCGGGGTCGTGCAGGATTGCCAAAGCGACGGAAGTCTTTCCTATACCACCGGGGCCTAAGACGGCTACACGGGCAGGTGCTCGGCGAGTGAAGAGATCGACAGCCGTCTTCACCTCTGCTTCGCGGCCGTGAAAGATGGAGTTCGCAGCACGCAGCCGCCACTTGGACCTAGACACCGGTCAATACACACACTCCTCGAAAGATTGCTCGACGGACTTACGATACTACAGGCGTTTTAACTTGAGATACGCCAGAAGTCTGCGTCTCGCGGATATTGTTGAGGGTGAGTCGCATATCCTCCAAGATGATGACCTGGTCGACTTGCAGAGTTGTCTAAAACGTGGAACGAGTCAGAGTCAGGATCGCCACGACTGCAAGGCTGTGCTCGCACGTTGAACTGCTGAACCGCCTTCGCTAACTTGGAAGAACACTCCTTGACCGACTTGGCGAGATCGGATCGCTTCAAGTACAGGCGGACGCGATCGCGCTTTCGCTTGGGATCGACCTTGCACTTCTGAAGAGTCAAGATGCACTCGAGCACAATCCTGATGCGGTTTCAGCATTCTTTCCTGAGAGAATGAATCGGATCAGACGTACTCTTCAAGCTCGGAAAAGGCATCGCGAAGGGAAGTGTTCAATGCGCCCTCACCCCGTCCGGACTCGATGCACTTGTCCCGGAACCGTTCGACCATCCTCTTCATTTCTTTGGCATGGGCCATCGTCGCCTTACATTCGTCCTTGCACTGATCGACCTCCTGTGAACAGAGATGAAAACAGTCCGGATAAGCGCCAAGACACTGCCTCACATCTTGGATTTTCATGAACTCTGTGAGTGCAGTCGATATGGCGCCCAAATACGGTATGTTCTGTGTGGCTTGCGCAGTCATACCGAGCGCCAGGGTAGCCACCTTAACCGCGCCCTTCATGCCATCTTTGGCACTGTCACTGATTTCTGTGCGCCTGGTTGAGCCTGGCTAGCGCTCGATGGAGAAGAGAAAGAAGCCGCTTACCGAGTCGACTCTTCGCGGATGGCGCCACCGGGCTGTCGGGTGCATGACACTGGTCTTGGGTAGGAGACATTCAAGATCGTACACCACGGGAAGGAAGACGCGCAGGTCTTCGACGACTGTAGATGACGTTTGGCTCTAGTCAAGGACGATAAGTTGACGATAAGCGAGTAAATACATCACACGGACGAAGACCCCTTACGGCTGACGTCGACATGGAGGCGTGGAAGCGTCATGACATCAGATGCCAGGTGCGCGCTCTGGCGCCACTTAGACGCGCCCGTCAAAGAGATGGCGATATTCGGACATCCCACAGCTCTGATCTTGTCAGAGGTACTGTCGCGATGCATGCGGGATGCTACTGGGACCGCTCTTCGCAGACGCGTACACCAAGCGTACACACGGACGCGCTGTCACACGCACGTATACAACTTATTGAGGCGCCGATGAGTGAGCGTGATGGAGGTTCTGAGTGCATGTCGACTGAAGGAAGTATCTATCGTGCATGGCCAGAAATGTTTGGCGAGACGCAAGTGGTGGTGGAGGATAAAACGAGTCGCGGCGCGTCTTGACCGGCTTGACCTCCCTCCATCACCAGCTCTGCACGTCACGCGTCGTCAATTTCCACTTGTTTCCTCGCACTTGGGCCGCAAACCGTAACCTCACCGACTCACTGTGATTCGGAATCATTTATGTACAGTACGATACAATGATCTACAGAGCTTGATGGCTACACGATCGCTACGTCCCAGAATGTTGTACAGAGAAGAAAGATAATCCTGGATACAGTATCAAAATGGTCCCACAACAGTCTCACGCCTGATATCGTACCATGTACTATAGTGTCAGTATACTGAGCATGGCATAGTCCTGACTATTCTTGGAATGGTACTTGCTACTTCTTGTTACCGTCAAGTGCTGATTGAACACATCGATGTTCATTCATTATGATCATCGGTGGCCACGGCTTTGGCCAGAGTGTGAACGACGCGAACTGCGGCGATCCGACGGCGCCATGTCGGTCTATAGCGCCAGCGTCAGAACATATGTATCAGGTACGCATGTCGCAGAACGTACGAGAGCGCTGGTATGACGGTTCGGAGAACGCCGGGCGTCTGCGCCTGGTGCATCTCTTTGATGGTGGAGTGGATATCTTCAAGGAGGATACTTTGGTCGACCTGTAAAGTTGTCTAGCGTAGACATCAAGGCGGTTTCAGCTTCTGAACCTCAAGCTGCGGGATGAATGCCTACATTGAAGTACTGCACTGCTTTAGACATCCTGGAGGAGCACGCCTTGATGGACTTCGTCAGTTCGGAACGCATAAGGTAGAGGCGGATGCGGTCGCGCTTGCGCTTCGAGTCGACTTTGCACTTCTGAAGCGTTAAAATGCATTCCAGCACGATCCTTGAGGAGGCTCTATGAGATGCTCGACGCGATCATGGTTGTCGAGGAAGACGTACTCCTCGAGTTCAGTGAACGCATCACGAAGGGAGCTGCTCAGTACTGAATCGCCCTTGCCGGACTCAGTGCATCTGGCACGAAATCTCTCGATGATCTTCCTCATCTCTTCAGCTTCAGCCATCGTCGCTCTGCAGGCGGCCTCGCAATGGCCAACCTCCTATTGGAGACGATTAGCTTTGGCTGGCCCGTAGTGGCTGTGCCATGGCCTCACGCTCTGGATCTTCACAAACTCTTTGAGAGCCGTAGAAATTGCGCCCAGGTACGGAACATTCTGTGTCATCTGCATGGCCACGCTCAACACGATGATGGCTACGCGTATCGCTCCCTCCATTCCCTCCTTCAAATCGATACTGTTGTCTGAACAACCGTGAGCGTCAGTAGTGCATCGGGTGCCGAAGAGACGGTTGCAACCTACCGAAGCGGCTCTGTTCGGGCGTCTCTTCAAGATAAGGAAGTACAGGTTCCATCTGTATCGCACTATGATAGGAGTTCGGGTCGTCGCCGCACATGGTTTGGATCTTTTGGCTGGACTCCGCCAGAGCCGTGGAGATTGGGCGCAGGCGGGGCACATCTTCTGTGGCCCGTGCCGCGACGTTCAATGCGAGTGTGGCGACCTTCGCTGCCCCTCGCACCCCTTCCTTTACTTCTTCGCGAACACCTAGGCGCGACATCAATCGGAGCTCTCATCTCTGCAAGGGGTTGTACTCACGGAGACGGCTCGATTTCGGGGCTTCCATCAGCGTACCAGCCGCACGAGCGACATCCGCGAATAAGGCGGCCGCCATAGTTGTCCAAGATCGCTTTCAGGTGTCCAACTCCGAATGGCCGTCGGTGGCCAGAGAGATGGAGGATGGGGTACCGTAGGAGGCCAAAAACGCTCGCCTACATATAGCCCCGCCTCCAGCACAGGCTTGCAGTGCCCCGGGACTGTGTTACTTGTATCCAGGAAGGAAGCGGGTTTGCGTCGGTGCCGAAGTGCCATTCAGTACATGCCATTGCCTGCGACTAGACCACATGTTGCGAAGGCATGACCATCGTAGGCGCCTAGTGATGACGTGTTCAGCCTATAAAGGCTATCTGTCTGCAAAATTACTCACCTTTCACGTCAATCCATTAGTAAAGCGAGCAAAGATGTCTTTCCGCGTCGAGTATAGTGTTACTGAGAGGACACTTTGACAGTGAGTGGCCCGACGGAGAATAGTGATTGCCGCTCATGTGGCAGACCCGGCTGCAGATACAGCACAGCCCTTGATCCTTTCGATAGATGCGCAAAGAGCAACGGCTTCTTGGGCGCATAGGCAACGTTGTGGCCAGTTTGAGCGGCGTTCTCGGGCTGTGCATGTACAGGCCGGATCCGCCGAAGGCCGTTTTTCTTCCAGGTTCTCCTTCCTTCGGCTTCAAGAGCATGTCTGTGCTGCGCCCCATGCGTACTTATCTTGAGAGGGCGAAGGAAGTGTGCGGCAGTCCTAACGCACGGTGCATCCTCCGTGGGTGCCCACAACCAATGCAGAGCTTTAGCAGAGCTTATGCGTCCATACTCTGCGTTGAACGTATCGTAGAGTAAGCCGTCGTCGTCGTCGTCGTCGTCGTCGTCGTCGTCGTCGTCGGTGGTGGATCAAGTCTGGAAGATACAGCGACACGATTTAGACGGAATTGGTGCGTAGTTGCCGTATCGCAGGTTGAGCTTGAGTTATCATGATTGGTTCACTCAGAGTTGGCACGTCGCAAGAAGCGGCTGTTTAACACTCGCCAGTGACATGGCATAGCTAAATTGTAGGTGCCGAACTCGATACTCGGATGGTGGTCGGAAGCAAGAAGCTCAAGAAATTCAACCAACGCCATCACTACGAGTCCGACGGCGCGTGTCGTCATCCCAGTCACTTTGCGCCCGCATGCACCCTCTCAGTGCTCCTGATCATGAGTCTGCGTCCATACGCGCCCACGACCCCATACCGGTGGACGTGTTGTGGAAGTTGCGGCGATCGTGACGCGTGAGATCTCTCACTCGCTAGTCACAATGCGATCATCTACTGTGAAAGGCGCTGGCTCAACCAGGCGCCGGCCCAGCGGCCCGGGCGGGCTCGACCGCGGAGCCACGATTCGCTCGTAGCGGCATAGTCGTAGCATGCGGGCTAATCGTGCAGCAGCAGGAGAACTTCTGGGCCCTACTCTGAGCTCTCGACACAACATGGCATTTTGGAAGATCTCGTAGAGACATGATGAGACAAGTGTGTTTGGAGAGTTGAGCTTCAAACAACAATCTCGGCGCCGATCTGAAAGTCGCCGACGAGCGTAGCCACCAGTTGAACTTCTACAACAAGTGTACAACATTAAACAGACAGACATTGGTAGTCTCGCTGTGATTTACATGTTGGATAGAGGTCTTCCGTGAGGCAAAGCAATTGCCACGGGCAAGCGATAGCAGGTACGCTAGCCGCTATTTCGACTCCTTGAACCCGACGTCAGACTCACACTCATGATCCCTCGCTGGTCTGCCTTCATCTCCGCCGTACCCATGAAGTTGAGTGTCAGGGTTGATGTGACTCGGATACGAGCTGGCCAGCACATGTCAGTTGAGCTGAGTATCCAGTATCCGGAATAACGCACCTGATTTCGAGATCCACCGATCGCTCGCCCATGTGCACATCCCCGCGATGCAACCCTCCGTGTGAAAGGGATGCCTGTTTCCAACCGAACCATCCGCAAACGGCGTGGAAGGCACGATGATAAGATGCGCGGGCCTCCGATGAGATGCCGAAGAACCCAAAAATGATGAAGGAGAGGATTGGATACACCCATGAACTGAAGTAGAACTGGGAGACTGTGACATTGCCTTTGGACAGCAAGTTGCTATACGAGAAGGCTATTGGCTGCCAGTCACTGGCAAGGTGAACGTAGCCCCATCCGTCGTAAAAGCGGAAAGGCTCCCCAGCTGACGGGTTGATGTCGATAACTAGGGATACTATGCCAAAGGGAAGAGTGAGTATGAGGTCTATGCTTGCAAGGGCCAAGATCCGGATGTAACTCGCGCGCGATATCGAATCATTGCTTCGTAGGAAACGGTTCATATCCCGCCCCTGTCGGTAGAAGGTTGAGATCACTTTAGCTGGTGTGTTCAAACCGAGACATGAGGCAATGTTACGAGATATGCAGAAGCAGGATACGCACGATAGTAGAAGAAGACCGAAACCAAAGGGGGAATGACGTCCCATGAACTGACGAGGAGGACCGTGAGAATCGTGGGATCCGCAGGGACGGTGCAACCGAAGCCTTCTTGCACTCGGAATCGATAATATTGGACAGTATAGACTGCCCGAGAGCGTGAGTTCATGATACGTGCTCGTGAATAGATACGACGAACAGAGAGGCCCGGCCACGAGTACGGGAATCACCAGTCCTAGGGTCCATTCTATGAACATATCCCGGCGCCTCTACAACAAGTAGTGTGTCAGTCATGTTTCGTACTCTCTGCAGTTGACTGTGCCGTACCGCGGATGCTGAGGGGAACTCCACCGTTCGCAGGCTGGCGATGAGATACAATCGACGTGTTATGATCAAGGTCGACATAGGTCCAACAAGCGCAGCGATGAGCTGCAAACGTGTGACTAGAAGGGATGGTAAGAATCAACAGCCACTAGGAGTGGAGACTAGGCGAACCGATATCGCAATATACGTAGAGCTTGATATCGGCATTGTCAGCCCATATGATGGCGTTGATTCCTCTAGTGAGGTTCGCGATGAAAAGCCAAAAGCATAGGAAGGCGACCCCGAGATTCCAACTCTGTCGAATGAGGCTGGTCATGAGTATCAAGAGCAGCATTCCCGCCGCTAGGAAGGCGGCGACAGGGAACAGGGGGTAGGTCGGGTCGACAGCAGCAACCATATTGCGCAGGTTGAATAGTATGGGGTTCTTCTGAGGCAGAACCTTGCTTTATACATTGCTCTTAGCTGTGACGGCCGAGAAACGAAGGCTTCTGTCGATGCATGATGGAGTGTAGAAGCAGCTTTGCTCACTCGATCGTTCCTGATCAGATAGCAAGATTGACCACCTCGCACTGTTTGAATGGGTCTATCTAGAGAAGCAAAGCCTGTGTACGTTGCCAACTGTCACTGTGAGCATATTCCTGAAGATGTACCTGAGTAAGCGCGCAACGAACAAGGATTGAGGGAGCGCATCTGACTAGAGGCACGGCTTACAATGATGTCAATAGAGCATCGCACAGGTGTCGCGATACGTCCCGTACGCGCGACGTGATGTTCACATATGGAAATACGTATGACACCGTGTTGGCCGGTCTTGCTCGTTCTCAAGTTGATGTCCTCGATATTGGGTGGGCGACCTGCGCAGGCGGCGGCCGCGTCGCTCAAGTATTCCTGCCGCACTTCTTGATGAGTCACACCTGAGATGGTTCCACGTAGGTTTTCCAGTAAGCGCCACTGCTTAGGGCTGTGGAAGATGGTGGCGCGGAGAGAAAGCCGACCGTGACCGCGTCGCGCGCGCTGGGTCCACACGCGCCTACAACTGCGTGAGACGCGTCGAGGTTTGGTGGTCTGCTCGACGACCACCAACTCTTGCTCTGTGCCATTCCTGTACCCGGTGTCCACGACTGCCGTGCGGCCACGATGGAATGTATCTGCCTCGCAACCGTCTGGCTGGCGCAGGCGACGCGAGCGGCGTCTACACCCCCTATTCGCGTGCACCATTCATACGCAACGGTCCTTGAGATACACCTGACAGACTGCTAGAGCCAACGTGAGGGATCTTTGTGTTGCATTCTGGTATCATATACTCACTATATGACACAGAGAGAGACGACATCACTCGGATACTTCCCCTCGACGCCTTGGACGGACTCAACCGTTCTTACACCTCAGACTTTCCACACCGCGTCCCAATCCGCTTGCCACGCTCGAGTAGCACTCCCAGAGCACTCCTCATCAAGTTGCGGGATAGGGTGCCGAAACAGGATCCTGTTCTTCATCACTATTCCTTCAGTACGCAACGAGTAGCTTCTCTAGTTCGTCTTTCTCTCCTTCACTCTCAACCTTTCGTCTTTAACTGATTGTGCGCTCTAGTCGACTACATTAGATCCCAGCTCATGCGTATTGCCTGCTTGCGCGTCTGCCGGCATGGTGGCTGGTGTCTCGGGGCAGATCCTACATCTGATTGCGAATGGTCGACTTCGCGCTCGCGCTGGAGCCACGTACCCTCGGACGGCTCCGCACTTCGGACCGTAGATAAAATCTTGACAGTCAGCGGGGGACACGCATCTCTGCTACACTACGCAGTCTTGGATCAAGCTGAGGGTTGAGCGGGATAGAGGATAGGGCTTTCTCCGCTCGCGAGCGAAGGACACGAGAAGACGCCGGTATATGCACCTCGCAACGCTCCGCCACAAGCTCTCGGCCCCAGCATACCGCTGTCGACATCGCTCGAATCCAGATTCGGAGTACGAGCGAGGAGGATAGTGCATCTCCGCCTACGAGACTTGGGCACGCGCCGCGCGGCTCTACTTCATTATACGCCACATCGGCATTTCAACAATCTAGGAGGGATGGTCCAAGTGTGACTATATCATCCGACGCGACGCACAGATCCGGAACACCCTTTTCGCAATGCCCATTCACGACGCGCCCTTCAAGCCGACGTCCGACACAGCCTATGCTATGAAGGTGGCATACGACGGACGGCTGTCTCTCCGCAACGCGCAAGCCGCTGCCGACGAGACCAGAAGCAAGGGTCGAGAGCTATTGGGTGTCAGGCGCCGGACGTCGTGGTTGGCCGCGAGCAGACGGAGAGCGACGCGGAGATGGACGGGATGGATCACGGAGACTGCCGCCGTCAACGGATACGAAGTATGTACGAGCTGTCGATCGCACGATCGAACTGCCGTAGGTGCGCAACGGTAGTCAAGGGTTGTTCATTCAGGCATTGATGCGCACTATTACAGGTGGTCCCGGCTCACCCTTCTGCACTGGTTGCGAAACCTTCCATGTATCACGAATCTGATACCACTGTTCATATATGAAGGATACAATGACAGATAGTTGAACAATGGAGCGAGAGAACCGCAGCGGGCAAGCGCATGGGACCTAAGAAATGGACTGCGAGTGATTCCGCATAGCGATCGGCCGCAGAGTGATAGAACGGAAACGTCCATGGCCGAGGTAACATCCTTCACCGCGGTCGAAGCATCACTAGGGTCAGGCTGGTTTGCCCTGGAAGGTTGCGCTGGGCATTGCGAGCCTGCTCGACGCGTCAGCCGGAGCCCAGTTCGTACCGTATCAGACGGCCACGTACGTCGCATTGCTTGCGTCCCCGTGCCTATCTTCTACCACGTCCTTATCTGACCCATTCTCCAGTTCGCTCCCAAAACCTTCTATCTCCACGACATGGCATTGTGCGTGGGCGTGAGGTTCGATTGAGCTCGGTTGCGATCTAGCTCATCCCTGTCAGCTCAGCTTACACTGTTGCGATGATCTATGTAACTCACTTGAGACCCAGCGACAGCGAATCCTGCAGAGGCCGTTCTCCGAACTCGATGTCTCCGAGCGATAATGGCCCCCTGCGTGCGCGAGAAGTCGGTTTCCAGCCGAGCCAACCACTAACGGTGCAAACGATGCGCCAGTACGACGCACGGGCCTCAGGTGTGACGCCGAAAAGACCAAAGATAACGAAAGCGAGGACAGGAGATGTCCAGTAACCGAAGTAGTGTTCTGCTACACTGAAAGTCCCTTCTGACACTAGAGCATCATAGGTGATGCTGGGCGGCTGCCAGTCCGTATGGTCAACGTTCCAGCCGAAGTAGAATGGCATGGGACCGAATGACAGCATATCTTCCACGGATATGACGATCGTCGCGATGCCTATGGGCAGGGTAAGCAGGACATCGATGCTCGCAAGAGCAAAGATGCGAAAGTAATTTGTGCGGGAGACCGAGTCGTTGCTACGTAGGAAGTGGTTGATCTCCCGGTTATGACGATAGAAGACACGAGCGACATGGGCTGAAGTACTGGGAGTCAGTGCTGCGATATCAAAGGGACATACCCCATTGATGCGACTCACGGAAGTAAACGATGATGGATACCAGAGAAGGGATCACAGTCCATGACTTGATGAGCAAGATGGCGAGTATCGAGGCGTCTGGGGAGTTGTTGCAGCCAAAACCCCCAACGATCTCGAATCGAGACCACTGAACTACGTAGTCTGCAAACGAGCTGAGCGCATGTGACAAGCCTGAGGTTGCAGACGCGACTTACAGAAAGGTCCTGCGACGAGAAGAGGGATCCCGAGACCGAGCGTCCACTCTATTGCTATATTCCTGCGCCTCTGATGCTCCCATCAAACCGTGAAGAGTAGTCCGAGCATTGGGACGCACCGCAGACTTTGTAGTAAGGTATACACCACGTCGGTTAGTGATCAAATATAATCGGCGGGTGATAATCAACGTGGCCATAGGTTTGACAACGAAGGCGAGCATCTGCAAGTGCGAGACTAGGATCAATCGTCAGACGGATCCGCGTACAAGCAGTATGATCGAGTTAATGCTGACCGATGTCGCAGTAGACGTAGAGTTTCACGTCGGCGTTATCAGACCATATGATGGTATCAATGCCCTGCGCGAGGTTCTCCCAGAAGAGCCAGAAAGACAAGAAGGTGACGCCGAGGTTCCACGTTTGGCGGACGAAGCTCGTCAGCAGTACAAGAAACAGCATCGCCGAGGCTAGGATGGAAGCGACGGGGTAGAGCGGGTACGTCGGGTCGACAGCTGCCATGGCGCTCAGACGGCGATCCCAACTCAGCCCGCAGATTGGGTGTCGACCATATATACTGGTGCCCCACTTCAGTCCAAACTTTGGTTGATCCAGAGCGCAGGAGGGAGACGATGGCGTTGCATAGTGAAGATGATCTTCTCCAGAAGATATGAACTATGGTGCCAGGTCCAGAGACCTCTGCGACGAGCATGTATGTTAGCTCTGAAAATGTTCATGGCAGATATACATCCGCACACCTTGAATAGCACGACACCGTTATCGTACTTTCCGGCCGTTTCGATGGCGCCTGCTGGACAGATCTTGTCGAGCCTTCTGGGTGGAGCTATAAGAGGCAAGTCAGATGGTAGCTTTGTAGGACTCGAAAGATGTAGGTGCGAACCAAATGGACCCGTGTGCGTGTAGACGGCTGCCTTCAGCAAGGTGTTCCAAGATAGGACGAAACAACGACGAGACACCACTTGTACGAGATGAGCGATGAACCCAAATTCGCTGTTACCAGACGCCGTCTGAATTGTACAGAAGGTCAAGCGGCGCACGAGAGTTGGATCTCAATTGGCTGCTCCAGTCGCTATTTGCCCGATGAATCTGGAAGCGTGAGTGCGAACAACATCGACATCTTGTTCATCTAGGCTGGGAAAGCATCGTTGTAGGGTAAAGGGTAGGAATATATGTGGGCTGGGGATCGGATCGTGATGACGAGCGCCCAGAGACCGTGAACCGCAGGAGCGCTTGCGCACGATGGTCGAGAGCCGAGCGGCCGACTCTGTGTGTGACACATGTCGGCCTCGAGAGTGCGTGAGAGAGCAAATCGCAGAGTACATCCAGTGCGCTAGCCTATCTTCATGAAGGCCATTGCGCTGGAGGGGCGTATGCTTGCGGCGTGGATCTGCACTTACACTAATAGGCTTCCCTGATACATCAGTCGTGCATCGGCACATCCGTCCATCCCGCACAGATGGAGAGATGATTTCTTTATAGGCGCCCTATGTGGGCCTCTATCTGCACGCAAGAACAACGGTCAGATGGGAACGTGCGAGTCTTTGAAGGCGCGGGCGCCTGCAAGAAGGGCGCCGGGTTCATGGGCGCGTTGCAATTCGTTTCGTAGTTGCACTGGATGCTTTTCTGGAGGTAGATGGATCATCGTTGCTGCAAGCCATGGTGGTGGTCAAGGTCAAGAGACGATGGACAGGCCCCCCTCTAACCTAGGGTGATGTCCGATCCTGGTGCTGACGGCAATGGTCCCATTTGGCGCGAAGGTCCGATCAGTATGCGGACGGGCTCATCGAAATCTCGCCGAACGTCCGATCCTATGTGCGTACCTGGATCCCCGTCGCCAGTAGGGTTGTATCGAGACGTGCTGACGGAAGTCCGAAGACGTCGGGACACACAAGCTGCGGTGTCGAGGCTGATTAGGCGCACTAAGAACGTGTTTCACTCATTATAGTACTGTACTTGCCAAATTTATTTTTGGGCCTTCCTCCTGTCGTACTCTAGAATATGCATCTGCGTGGTAAATAATACTTCCAGTTGGTCGGCGCGCGCTTGGGGGACCGAACGTGGGAGTTGAATCAACAATCAACATTCAACGCGCGGCCGCTCTGCGTCCGCCGTTTTGACTTGAACCATCACCACGGCGGCGCCATGGCCTGTTGCTCGTACGTCTAGTGTGCTGCACAACGAGTAGTTGCTTACAGTGGCCTACAGGAAGGGTCAGCACATAAGCAGACTGTTAGGTAGTCAATGCAGTGAGTTGTTTACCTTCGTCGGTCTCTTTGTTGCTGAGTACCATGACAGGTGCTCGCTAGTATCTCATAAAGTACCCCTAGTTGTGTGAGTGTCTATTAAGCTGCGCTCGGGTAGAAACTTACCGGCTGTCAGAACTTGACAATGCGCGATGTCTGTACAAAAAATAACCTGCGTGCTATGGGCTTATAAGCTGGATACGAACATCGTGGACACCTCACCTCTCGCGCCGTTCTACTGACATCGCCGCGACCTCTCCTATTCGACTGACTCCAGCATGCACGACGTCGTTGGCTGTATGTTCCTTACTCATATCCAACCGCCAATTCGTGAGCTAACCCACTCTGCTCAGGTTTGTCGTGGCTCTTGTATCCACCCCGTCCCGGTTTGGACGTCGTCACTATATTCAGCCACATTCTCGTCACCTTGTCGTTTTGTCTTTCGTATGTGCAGGCTTCAGCGATCGTAGTTCTGCGTTCGGTCTTGTCCACGGACCGTCGTCTGGTCGCCTTCAATATGTGCTACCTCCTCGTTTGGGTTGTTGTTCTTGGGCTTCTCGCACGTATGTCGCTCCATATCTCTTGAGATGAGCCATGGCTGATTTGCGATACAGTTCACGCTCTGCGGCCAGGCATCATCCCATGGGCCCGACTGATGGGTGCTGAGTTCCGGCATCGACGCTTTCATGCCTCTCAGCTTCGTGCCGACAGACTTGCGCGTCACCTCCGCTGCCCGACTGATTCTACCCGCCGACGTTGCGAACGCTTTTTGGCCGCCCGTGGCGATCAGGTGGCTCCCCTCTTGCATGGCAATCGTGCTCAGCGTCGCCAGTTGGCCTTCGGCCATCGTCGGGCTTGCTCTCCACAGTTGCTCAGGGCTTGGGTAATGGCGCCTGAACGTAAGTTCTATCATACATGGTCGTACATCTCAGTCTTACACACCTGCAGGCTCGTCGACATGGGTCATGAGCTCCATCCGGAGTATAACATCGGCCATTTGGTTTCTGCTCCGACTTCCTGTGCATGAGATCGTCCATGGTATGTCCGGTGCAATCTTGTTCAACGGCTCGGTTGGCTCATCTGTGCTCCAAGGTTTCCTTCTGGTGGCCCGAACAGCTCTCCTACGAGCGTCTCTCCTCTATGCTGTCACCAACAGGCTTGTTGTGTCGTCTCGCACCCCCGAGCAACCCTTATGGACGCGTCATTGCGACCTGCCCCCCCTCCCTGGTCGTATAGGAGGGTCCGGCGAGGTCTCGGGACGCCCACTTGCTTCATCTCGGCCCGAGAGTATCTCCTCAGACTCCGACGACGATGTGGCTGCTTTCGTGTCTTCAGAATGGCTTGGACGCGGTCTCGTTTGGCACTCTGGACTTCCGCCATACGTTCGTGCGGCCCGTAACCTCGCGCGCTGCATACCATCACGGGCATTGCACTTTTTCATACCGTCGAGCAACACCTCGGTTGCAGAAGTCCTAGCGGATAGCACACGCTTTCCTGCTCTCGAGAGATCATGCGCCCCCCCGGTCTACACTATGCATCCGCCCAATGTCTTAACATGCCCACCTGCGTCCGACCGCTATCGGGATGAGCTTCACGCACTTCGCGCTCTCCTATTTGCCTCTTTATCCCACGATACCTTACTCCGCTCGACCTTCGACGATGCGTGGTTGAGTGGAGTCGGGTCCATCACGTTCGCCTCTCATCCGGAGGTCCACTATCCGCTCTGGGTCGAACACTTGCTGGGAGAGGTGTCCATCGTTGTCCCGAAGTACCACCGTTGGACATATGCTGTACAATGGCTTTCGGCTGTCGAGGATATGCATGCGGACGATCGTACCCTCGCGCTCGTCGAGGGCTGTCGCGAGGTTCTCGACGCCATTCCATGGATAGCCACCGCCCCCAATCCCAGTCCTGCTGTACAGCTTACGACGGTGCACTTGGCCACGCTTCTCAGCCATACATGGGCCAACGATGAGCAGCTCAACGCCGGAGCAGATTGGATCATGCGACATGGTGTACCTCGCGATTCCCGGATGCGTATCGCGAACAGCAACCTGCTCGGTGCATTACGACTTGCTCGTGCCCGCTCTGAGGTGTACGTCTATCGTCCATCGTCTAGTCTAGATCGGGCTATCCGCAACGGTTCGGTCGACACATTGGAAATCATCGTTCATACACACGAGGAGACCCATTGGGCGGCCATCACACTCGACCTCCACGACTTTACATTCACGTATCGTGATGGGAAGTACTTGCGCGACACCGCGGCCCCGGACGACCTTCAACTTCTGCTCTGGTACCTCCAAAGCTTGAATCCACGTTACGCTGGGAAGACCTTCCGACCTGCGTCTGTCATGCACCACTCGCCGCGGCAACACGATAGCCACTCATGTGGTATCAACCTCCTGTCCACCATTCTTCACGACCACACAGAAGAAACATACTACGGCTGGTCGCAGGAGTTCTATGCTGCTGCGCGATTGGAGTGGTTCCTTCGGTTGGCTGACGACTTCATGGTAAGTAATGTCAGTTTCTTATGTCGTGGACGCCTGGCTCACACGCAATAGCTCGCCGATCACGATTCTGACGACAGCGATGGTTCAGACAGCAGCGATTCATCTCGTTCCGAGGACGGGGATGACGATGGGCACGACGGCGACGACGAGCTTGTTGTAGTGGAGCACCCTATCATGGTAAGCATATTATCTCTTTCATTTGCACATTGCTCACATCTTTGCAGGACCCAAGCGATTTTGACGGCGACGATGCTCATAGCAATTTGGACGACGGTGACAAGGATGACGACTTCGTCATGGTTGATGCTCCCTCTGAGGTACGCTATGAATGTGCCGATTGCAAGCTAGACACTCAACGTGCTTTAGGTCAATCCGTGCCAACAAACACGTAGCGTCTCTCGCACCACCGACACTCGCAGTATCGGCCTAGACGAAGTAGCTTCCCTATTAGAGGTATGTCCATACATGTTCATCAGTGGTGCCTATTTGATCTCAATCTTGCATCTAGTTCGGTGCTCAGGCTGTCCGCTCATCACCATCTCGAGCGACTTCAACGACTTCAAGCTGTACTCGGACTGTCCCAGCACCAGCCAAGCGCCCCTTTTTGCCGTCGGCTGAAGGCTCGTGTTCTGATTCAGATACGGATTCCGACTCGCGTGGTGCACGCCGCGCCCGCCCGCGTGGGGCCACTAGTTCTCAACGTGTTCGTACTGGCCGGTCCTCCTGGGTGTATCAGAAGGAGTTGTCTGCAAAGTCCAAAGAAGCCGACTTCATCGCGTCCAAGGCTCGTCTCGCGTCGTTCCGCGACAAGATTCGTCTCGACGACAAGCTTGCCCTCTTCAAGGACGATGACCTCATGAGTGTTCGCTGCTCTGCATGCGCGAAATGGGTGAAAATGCGCGTGCTCTTCGATGTGCGACGGTGGAAGGAGCATCGCCAGTCGCCTGCCTGTCAAGGTCGTTGTGCGACCGGCTTGCGCTCAACATCGCTCAAGTCGTATTTCTCGCCCACCTCCAAAACACAACCGCCATCTCCGTCTCTCGTGCGACCGTCGGACGTGCACACTCGCCCGGCCACCATTACACCTTGCCCCGGACTCCTCCGCACATCATCTAAGCTAATCGAGCGCTATCTTGCGCGTTCTTCGGTGGACGGTGGCGGGGCGCCTTCGCGCTCCCGGATCGCCAGGGAGCTTTTCTACGTCGAGGACGGCGAAGACAATCTCACCTGGTCATCTCTGACACAACACGAGCGCGCGATGGTTCTACGCCGCGAGTCTGTTCTTTTCAAGTGGCGCAACAACAGGACCGTGGGCGCTGTCTTTTCGACATCGTGTGCAGGAGTTGCATCGTCTTCGTTTCCGCTTCGACCCTGCGAAGACTGTCATGCGCTGTGGCGTCTCCATGGCTTCCAGGTCATCGTCAATCGCAAGATGCCGGCAGAGGGAACATGGAAGTTTACGCCAAAGGCATACCGGAATGGCGAGCTTGGATCGATCTACCTGAAGTACAAAGGTGTACGTGAGCTCATTGAGACGGTACGAACCTCTCTAATATCTAGCGCACTTCAATTTCTGATGTGCTTGCAGAATGACGGTGCCAACCCATGGTTACGCTTCGCACAGAATGCCTCCGCGGGTCTGTACAAGTCCCATGAAGTTGTCCTGGGCCTGGTCAAGGCGATGGTAGAGAAGGCAGACCGTGTACGCCTCGGAAAGCGCCACACCAATATGCACTACACGGAGGCGCTTGATTCATTCTGCAACGTCTTGCAGAGCATCTCTCCGCGTGCTTATAAGACCTTCCGACACGTCTTCGCCGGGCGGACTCCGAGCAGCATGTCGTACGTTCTGTCTGGTCGATCGCGTTAGCTTATCAATCTCACAATTCTCTAGACAACAACGCGCCAAGCAACCACGCTTTGCGGCTGGCTTTTCGGCTGCCAACGTGCAGCGAGTCGTCGAGACCTTGCAGCGCTTATCCTATAACGGGCCTCTCGCACTCGCATGGGATGATACCGATCTCGAGAAGGCGCTATCCGTATGGCAATCTTCGAAGGACGCGTGGACAATCATTGGTGCTGTACAAGGCTCTGTTGTCGTCAAGTCGGTCCAGGACGTCGACGCATTCTTTGCCGATCAGCAGATCGAGCGTGCGAGCAAGGTACGTTTACCGTTCACGTCTTTACGATATCATGTATTGAAAGATCTGTAGCTCCGTATTTGGACACTGTCAATTCCGCTACCGAAAGTCCCCCCTATTCTGGTCTGCGCTCTCGCTCATGGCTCTCGAGACACGTCAGAGTCATTACTATCCATGCACGAGCGGATATGTGCACTCCTCCATGCAGTCAACATTCATCCCGTTTCCGCAGCTGCCGATGGCGCTGAGACCGAGCGAAAGCTTCAGCGTCTCATCTCGGCCTCTGCACACTCGGTCCTCCAATTCACTATCGGCAACGGCCTGGCTATTGGTGCAGCCTCATTCTCGATACCGTGCTTCTACGGTCTGCCCTGCGTCCTAGTACAGGATTCGAAGCATGCTCTCAAGACCGCCCGGAATCAACTCTTATCAGGTGCCCGCGTTCTCGTCATGGGAAACTTCCCTATCCTGACCGCAATGCTTGACGACTTCGCCGACCATCCCGATGGACCACTTCTTCATCGCGACGTCTATCGGGTAGACCGCCAAGATGATCGTGCGGCAGGACGTCTCTTCTCTTCAGACGCCTTGGCCTTCCATCTCCGCCATCACCCTGAGCAACCTGCTCTCTCCGTCTACCTCTTCGTCTGCGGGGAACTCGTTGATGCGTGGCAAAACCGCTGCATTGGTCACGTTGCGCGTGTACGCATGGTTCTACGTGCTCGCCTCGTTCTCACCTCCTGGCGTACGCACGTCGACAGGCATCCGGACCACAACCTGGCGACACATTTCATCTCTCGTGAATCATACGACATCCTTATCATCCTCTGCCACCGACTTGTCGAGCTTATCGTGGCCTACCGGTGTTTCTACGCTACGTACCCGCTCCTCCCGTGGCTGCACTCGACCGAAGTTTGCGAACATATCTTCGGGGTCCTTCGTCAGATCAAGCCAGACTTCACGTACGCCGATATGCTGTACATGGAGCCGAAGCTCCGCGCTCTGCTCATGGGGGCTTTCGAATCGTTATCGTCTCAAGAGGCCGCCAACGAAGTTGCCGAGGGATACCATCACACGTACTTTCAGACAGACGGTACATTTTTTTACCATGATATATTTGCGCCGCCCACTCACACTGTCTGCACCTTAGATATAGATCTCTGTGCACTCATGCAATGGCCCACCGACGAGCAACTGGACCTGGCAGCAAGTGATGCTTTCGACGATGCGGCGCAGCTGTTATCAGCTGTTGGGCTTGATATCGTTCAACTTGTCCCGCACAACAACAATGCATCGTCGCATCTCACGCAGCCGGCGATTGCTATGCAGCTCCCAACGCCTCTGGCTCCGCCGCCGGTCCCGTATTCACCACCATCTAATGCCGCTGGGCCCACCAATGAATCTTTCATGACCGAGCTCCTCCGCCTGTTGAATGTCACGGACGTCCCATCGGTAGTCGAGGACGAGCTAGATGTGTACTCGGCTGCTCTTGCCGCAGACGATGTCGGCAAGACCCTGACAATGTATGTTATATTACTTATCCGCACTCCACGACACAGCTGACTTCTGGGTTATCCAGCATCTCTTTACCAGATTCCTCGCCCGATGAGGAAGTCATCTTAAAGGGCGCTATCGAGGAGGCTTGTGCTGAAGCAGCCGATCCTCCGGTAGATGCGGTATGTCACTACTTAATCAAGTATATCGCTATCCTCACAATTTATAGGATGTCTCCTCATCCCGCCACACGACACCCCTCGTCGACTCGACTTCGCTAAGCATCGTACGAAGCGAGATGGTCTCGCGGCGTGCTCAGACTCAGAGCCTCGGATTCACTGCGCTACGCCGACGTGGCGGCCGCGCAAGCACCAACGAGGAACGTCGAATGGCCAACGAGCTGCGCACTACACGCGCGAGCATTGTAGATCGCGTATCGGAGCTTATGGACAAGCACGAGAAGACGACTACCGCAGGCGTGAACCGCCGCGTTCGTCACGCAGGCACGTACGCGGCGACAAATGTCGAACCTTCGTCGCGTCGGCAGGAACGGAAGCGTGCCTCGCAAAAGGTTTCCGCCGATGTGGGTACTCTTCCTATTCGATACGGGAGGCTTTGCTCATATTTGGTATAGGCTTTCATGCGTCATCGTAATCAAGCTTTCCGCCCGTTACAGCACTTCCACGAGCAGATGATATCTGGCAACGTCAACGACTTATGGCCCCTTTGTGTCGATGGCTTCATCCTCGCCTTGCACTTTGCTCCTGGCACCAATGTGCCCCAGATCGCCTTCGGCCAAGGTATCTACTGGTCTCTCGTGTTGTCAATGCAAATACTGATTGGTTATTTCAGTTATATCTATGCACACGAACAGTGGGGCCCGTGGAGCGACGTACGAACCCATCCACTCGACTTCCAGCATTGGCTACCCATCTGCTATCGCCATGCTTCTCTTCGCCCCCTCTCATGGCCGCTCGTTCTCGTCCGCTGCGTGTCAGAGTCTCGACTGCGCCACTGTCCTGCGTCTCGACCGCGCCCATGTTCTCTTCTCGCTTGCGAACTCACATGCGTTCCGCAAGCAGGACATCTCCGAGAACGGTGCTCACCCAGTGACTCTCGTCACTGTGGACGATGCCACAGCAAACCTAATCAGTGTGCTGCAGCAGCACATTGGCGCTGTCGAGCAGGCTGTCGCGGCGTTATGCTTCGCACTCAAGCCACCCAAGTCATCGTAGTTGTTCAATAGTGGTATCCGGCCTCTCAAAGTACCTAGGCTCTCTCGTCTTCTTTCGTACCTCACTACAACTCCTGTAATAGTCACGACTGCTATTATTTTGAATCATATATCCATTTATGCGTACGGAACTAAGGACCGATGATGTCCGATACACTGATGCACACGGCTTTGCCTATATAGTGCCTTATATCCAGAGTGCGTACGGCCCGGTGCCAAAAGGTCGGCTCCGATCCGAATTGCTGACGAAGACGCCCGAAATGGGTTCGTACGGAAGTGCCCGAATCGGCCGATTTTGGATACAAGCTCACCCTCGACTAGAGGGGGGCCTCGATGGACGGCCGTGGAAGCGCGTTGGGCGTCTCACGGCACTGCGCGGACCGTCGTCGTGAGCGCGTCGAAAACTTGAAGTATTATCTGTCATGGCCTTATTCGGTCTTCTGACTTGTCTTTCACAGCCAGACAAGTCGGCTCCACATATACAGTCTGAGCCAGACGAGTACTCAGACAGGTAGTTATACGGTGGGATCCCGGCTCAAGGTCCATCACTGTGCGCGTGTGGACGGCACTCAGACTCGGAGACCGGCTTCACCACCACCACCATCATCACCAACCTGGTGCCGTTTTCTCCTCTGCACACTTACTAGCCCCCTAAATACGCACACGACCTCTCGCTGCCCTATGTACCTTCGATGGTGACCCGTCTGTGACTCTTTGAATCATCCGCGTATGACACGACGAGCCGAGGCTTTTGGCGGACAACTATGGTGCTAAGCCGGAAGGCGGAGGCCATCGCAGACACAGAGGACGCGCTCTGGCTCCATCATCATCATCACCGCCTGCGAGCGAAACACACGAGAGCGGCGAGTATGAGGCGCACTGAGCACCAATGGCCAGCAGACAAGGTAAGACTATCCCAATTCATTCGTCTCTGGGCCGTGCTCATTGCATCGATTTCAACAGGATCTTATAGCTGGCCGCGCCGCGAAAACTATAACGCGCAATTACTCGGAAATTACGAGTGTTCACCCAGCGTGTGCAACAAGCACCCTCCGTCGTCTCGGGTTGGCCCGCAAGAGTCCGCTTGTACGCGATGGAGGACGCTCGCTGACCCACGAGCGCTCCCGCCGCCACGGTCCTGCAGCCTCAGGGCCGTCAATTCCTCGACGGCGCACAAGCGCTCGCTAGACCAAGCTAGACCAAGCCGTGACCGCGTGAACGCTCATTCAGCTGCGAATCTCGCGTCCGACTTTCGCGCTCCCTGCGCAGTGCGACACTGCGATCCTGCCCCGCCGTGCGGTCACAAACCTCGAATTCGGCCTACCAGCGCCACACTCGTCTCGTATGCCCATGGATCCACCGCGTTGCAAAATCTCAAGTTGCAACGCCCGGATGATACAGGCGACACGCAGCCAAACACGGAAGAGGCAATGAAGACGTGCGAGTAGGGATGAGTGGCATGTATCTGGTCCAGCCGGAGCTACGTTTGGGTGTATAGATGTGGAGGGGACGGAGCGACGGCACTGTTGCTCCGCGTTTGCCAGAGTCAAGGGTCGCGAACAATATCCCACCCATCTGCGAGTTCTGGTCTCTTTCACCGACAAGGCCTCGCGAGCGGCTGCGAACAAAGCCTACGCAGGACACATTCGCCCCCGAGGACATTCGTCTCATCCTGTCGAGCGCAGACACCCTCTACTCAGCACCACCGGCACTACTCGACCACGTTCACGTCGAGCGTGTCTATCTTCGCAGTGTATAACCTCGACGCCATGTCAAATTAAGTTCCCGTGGCCCGAATCAAAATGGCCGAACTGTGGCGTCAGGAGAACGGTGGGGGAATAGGATGGTGTGGATCGACGTTTTGCGCCGGTGTGAAGGAGATAGGCGCCGCCGCTTAGCGCTCAGCGCTCATATCAGCGCCCGTGCGCCAACTCTGTCTGGACGTTCAACCCGCAGTTCAGCCGCATGAACTCGCTCTGTTGGAGCCTTAACTTCGCCCATGTGTTCATTTGCGCGTGTTATCGTTTCCTACACGCCATCTCTTCGTCGAACGCGTACGCCTTACCTGATGTTCATGCGAACACACGAGAGGCCTCGTACGGAGTCGAGGATCGAGGTCAAGGTTGAGCCGATAGGCGCTGAAGACCTGGTCCCTCGGAAGTGTTCGGGCGGGATGTGTGGGGCCCGAGGTCGACGGGATGCTGCCATACAGTCTTGAGCTGTGGGGGGAAAGAGGGGTACTTGAAGAGAACACGGTCGGACATGAGCGGCCAGAGACAGTGTTGGGAACCATGTATATCGGTACGAACTACTGTCTCTTAGTGTAGGCTCTTTGTTTGACGTTGCACCTTGGTGTAGGAATAGTCGCATCACGTGTATATGTCAATACATTACCGCACTCTGTATAACAGAATGCTATCATGATGATTCGACATCGCGCTCTCTGGTTTGACCTCGTTCGATGCCATGTCATGCGCACTACTAATCTGACACCCGCAATCTATCGAAAATAACACTTGTCCCACATACAACAGGAAGCCTACTGACACGAAAGAACATTAAAGAGACATCAAGCCAAACGACAACCCCGGCCAGTGAGGCGCAGCAAATCCGACTCCACACAGCATTCTATATCCCGAAATGCACGAACGGTGCCCAACGCGCGAACTTCTCATACCCGACCTTCTCCCTCAACTTCCTCGTAGCCTCGTGCAGAGCGTATGCCGCGCCCGTCTCCCCCTTCCCGAGCGTCCCAGATGCGCGAAGTTTGAGTAGCCTCCGGTAGTACGCCTTGACGACGACTGGCGCGTCTTTATCTCCGATAGACCACATCGTGGCGATCACGCCTTTGTATCCCACGGCAAGCATTCCAGCTGCGAGGTGCATCGACTCTTCAGGTATCTTCTCGTCGCCGACGGCAGTCTGGCACGCGGATAGGAACGCAAGCTCTGCATTGTCCGCCCTGGTGCTCATGAGGTCGAGGAGCGAGAGCGGTCCGTCGTGGAGTGCAAAGGCGCTCTGTAGAGGGTCTTCCGCGTTCTGGGTCCCATGACAAGCAAGGTGCAACCAGGTGTGTTGGTTCAAGGCGGTGCGTACGGCGGCCTTTGACACTTTATCCCCAGTGAAGAAGGAGGTAGCATACTTGGACTGCGCCAGAACCTCTCGTACACGTTCGCCTTCGACCAAAGTCCCTGGTATCGGCGTGTATCCGGAAACGTCTGATTGCGTCACCACGAGTACGCTTGGAGTTACAGGCTCGTCCGTGACCGCATCTATGCTGCGCGTGAGCGCGGAGAGCGATGGGGTGTATGAGGAGACCACGAAGTCGTAAACGCGTGGCCCAGACAGTGGGTAGCCCCCCGCTGCGTGCAGTGGCAGCTGGGTTAGCGGTCCAGTGGGACACCAGGTGACATGGGGGAGTGAACCGGAGGGCGCCTTCTAGAGAGTGTATGAGTAAGTTTCATCCAGAAGAGCCGCAGAGAAACTCACGAGCCCGTATATCCCGAGGCCTTCTAGTATCGGGCGCACGATCCATCTCCAGATGAGGCTGAGGATATGACGAGCTGATATTGATCCCTCAGAGTGATGATCTGCTCTCGGGGTGTCTCGAAGTGTGCCACGCTCGCGAACATTATGTAGCTCGAGATACGACAACCACTGTGACCGCAGGATCGTCGCCCTTTGCAAGGAGAGATCCGGTAATGCCACGACCTTCATTGAGCCATCCGCGAGTAAGATTAAGGCATCGCAGCGCACACGATCTACGTTGATGAAGACCACAGGCCCGCCGGAACGCGTAGATGCGGGAAGTAACGCATGAAGCTTCTTAGGAAGCATAAAGTCTTCAAAGCCTTGGAGTTTGCGGATGCCCGAGAGTAGTTTCCCATGCGCGATGGCCAGACCTCGTTGGATGTCCGCATGGCTACGGCCCGAGCCTGTCATTGAATCATCCTGTTCATTGCATAGGACATCATCAGAATGGGATGGCAAACAGATCATGTCCTGCATTCGAACGTGCACGTCGTTAAGAGCACGCGCTAGATCGGGGTAAGCTTGTTCGAGATCGTGAAGAGGACTACGCAGTGACAGTGTCTGGGACCATATGAGGGTTCTACCCGTTTCCAGCCACTCAAGGGCTTGATCCGTAGCATTGACTCTGACGGCGGCGCACACTGCAGAACTGACAAGCTTGCCAAGTTTCTGGGACTCTTCCAGACGGCGTTCCATGCTGTGTCCAGGCCAAACGACATCGGAGAGAATATTGAGGACGCGGGAGTGTGCGAGTAACAGCATCTCAGTGGTGCTGTACTCGGGAGTATTGTTGAGGAACTCTACAGCATCTATGGCAGTTTTGAGGCGATCTGCTGGCGAGTCCAAGGGTCGAGATGTTGCAGCTATGTAGCAAGAGAGGGCTTCAGAGAAATGATTCATTGTCCTTTCTCGGTAAAAGTAAAACACCAGAGACGACGCTAGATTGCTCAGCCAGATAGCTTTGCTGGGATGATCATCCGGAGTCAGCGCGTTCGCGCGTTCTTGATTTGAGATGGCGGTCTCGATATCTTCGAGCTCATCGAAGCGTCTGAAGCGCTGCCACTGCAAAAAGCCGAGGCTATTGAGCCGGGTTGGCAGGGCGGGATGGTCGTTCGGGGTAAGCTCGACTACACGGCATTGCGACGTGATAGCTCGCTCGAGGTCGGCGGGGTCGTCGAGGCGCTCGAAGCGAGTGCGCAAGGACAATGCGAAGTTGTGCAGCGTGCTGGCTTTGTTGGGATGATTATCTGCAGTCAGCTCGTTCGCACACTGTAGATTCGAGATGGCGCTCTCGAGATCTTCAGGCTCTCCGAAGCGTCCGAAACGCAGTTGCTGCAAAGAGCCGAGGTTGTCGAGCCGATTTGGCAGGTTGGGATGGTCGATCGGGGTAAGCTCGACAGCGCGGCGTTGCATTGTGACAGCCCGCTCGAGGTCGGCGGAGTCACCGAGACGCTCGAAGCGAGTGCGCAAGGACAATGCGAGGTTGTGCAGCCTGCTGGCTTTGTTGGGATGATTATCTGCAGTCAGCTCGTTCGCACACTGTAGATTCGAGATGGCGCTCTCGAGGTCTTCGATCTCTCCAAAGCGTCTGAAACGCAGCCACTGCAAATAGCCGAGGTTGTCGAGCCGATTTGGCAGGTCGGGATGGTCGATCGGGGTAAGCTCGACTGCATGTAGTTGCATTTCGATGGCACTTGCGAGGTCTTCGGTTGTGCCAAGGGATTCAAAGCGGTTTCGCAACGAGGCGCTGAGATTGTGCAGCCGCAAAGCTCTGTCAGGGTGACCGTCTGGAACGAGTTGTAGGGCACTTTGATCCGCCGCAATGGCTCGCTGGAGGTCGTCAAGGTTCCCTTGAGCGTCGAAATATAGATGTAGACAGTGCCCCAGCTCGCCCAGCAGATACGCCTCTGATTGGGGGGCGTCATTAACCGCCTGTTGATATAGCGTTATGGCGGATCTCAGCTGGGCCACGTCCCATGTTCTGTTGAAAGAAGCGAGGGCTTGCTTGGCAGCTGACACGACGTTCGGCTTTGAGCGCTTGAACTTCCAGGGGATCGAGAGACAGCCTGAGAACCTGACGTTCGTCAGTCAATGCGGCCAAGGTAAGGCAATATCCCGGTGTCAGAAAACTCACGTTCGGGGTCCCGGCGATGTGTCCTCCAATCTTACTGGGTCCATGACCCATCGCATGCAAGACAAGCCTACAGCGGGAGGCCGTTGCTCTCAGAATGGCGACATCAATGAAAGAGGAGGGCCTCACAGCGGGCACACGAATGTGGGTACGGGAGGGGGAGGGAGAGCCAGTCGACGCTTTCGTCTGGAGGCTAGATATGTGAGGTGCAGGTGGGACTGCTAGGACACCGTTAGCGCGCTGTGTATGCGTGGGTGTTCGCCTGCTAGTACAGCCTCACAAGCGGGTGCTGAACAATGTGACGTGAACATTGGGTTAATCATCTGCAAGGCCTTGCAAGGCGTATACGGTCTCAACGGCCATTGACGATGGGGAGGGTCTTCCTGATAGGAAGAATATATTCGACAGCATAGATGTAGCACATGACATAAGCTGGCCCGTAAACAGTAGGCTGTGTACGAAGACACGTCTGACATCAGGCGGGTAGGCTGTGCACTGACACTGCCATCCATCCGCCTCAAGCATCCGCATTGGCGCCCACATGGACGCCAACTGCTTCGGTGGGCACCCGTCCACCCCCTGACTAGAGCAAAGCGAATGAACGGGAGACAGTGGTGGTCATTGGCCAACGACTCGGAGGTGCGGGGCGGGCAGCGTGAGCGCCAAGCGGCAAGCGCAGTCTGCAGGCTCCCACTCTGCTCTTGACATCCATGACGATGGTTTCTCCACTCGCAGCGCACTTCTCGACTTCGAAAATACTTACGGCCCTCGAACTGCAGCGGTGAATAGCGTCAAGCTCGAGAATGACCGGATAGAGCGCCTCGCTTCAAGCTCCCTTACCTCACCTCCCGCCCTCGACGGCTCGCTACACTCATGAACCCTGCGAGACCTGGACAGGCCTCGCGCGGCTCTTTGCCCTACGCCGCAACGGCAGCGAACTGAGTCGCTGGTCATGGACCTACCATCCCTTAGCGAAGGCGGAGTGTGGCGAGTGTCACGCATACGGATATCGGCAAGGACGCAATTGAGAGTGGTGCGGTCAGAGCGGTTAGGTACGGCTCTTCCTACTTACCGTTGTGGAAGCCTTACTGATCCAGATGCGCAGAACGACACCGGGCAGCAACGTGGCTATAGCTCGTCAAGCTAACCATATGCGCATCTACACAACTCATCAACAGCAAACTTGGGCGAAGTGCTTCTCATCGCTCGCCGCGGGCGATGGATGAACGACCGCTCTGACCCTCCCACTGACGCCTGCCTGTCCATTCGCCCTTCTTTCCCGCTCTCACCGCAAATCCTTGGTACTCCTCTCAATCATACGACACGTCATCGCACCCGAGGCTCGTCCGACGGCGACAATCGGAGGACCTGTACGATACGTCGAAAATCATGGCGTGGAGAGCGTAAGTGAGGACGTCAATACCCCGCCGAATGAGGGACACTTGCGGCGGCGCTACTGGCGGACGATGGCGTGCAAAGCAGCTACAGCTAGAGTATTACTTCTGGTGCTTTCGGGTCACATCCCGCTGTCGTATTCATCTTGCCTTCGTAGCACGATATCACCATCCTTTTGATTATACGACAGATTCACGATACATGAAGTCTACGAAGCACTTAAGAACGCGCATACATATGAACCCGAGAACCTATATCCGAATGATTGAGCGACCTCGCACAGCGAGAAGGTGCAGCGCTGCTGCACTGAAACGTCCATAAGCGAACCGACCTACACCTCGGCCGAGGCATCGCCGAAGCCAGCCTGGGAAGACGCGGAAGGGCGCGTCGGGCGCTCGCCAAGCCTACTTGACGCGTTAACGATAATGCCAGTACGAACACTGTCGAATGACCACGTACGTCTCCTCAGCAGTACTCCGGCGCACTTCCTCTATCGCATCCTTCTCATTATGCGAGTCATTCTTTGCGTCGTTCGCGACTTCTCCTTCACCCTGTACTTGCGCACCGGCGCCGTTGTTGACGTAGCTTGGGTTCGACCTGGCTCATCACCGTCAGTCCAGTCCTAATGGATGTATGGAATAGCGTACTCGAGACCCAGCGACATAGAGTTCTGTGCAGCACGTTCGCCAAACTCGATGTCTCCCAGCGGTGAGCGCGCCCTGCGCGCGCGAAGAGTCGGCTTCCATCCGAACCAGCCGCACACGGTGCAGATGATGCGCCAGTACGACGCGCGTGCCTCCGAGGTGACGCCGAAGAGAGCGAAGATGACGAAGGCAAGGATGGGTGATGTCCACTCGACGAAGTATACACTTGCCACATTGAAAGGACCCTGGAGCACCACGTCTGCATAGTAATAGCTCTCCGGCTGCCAGTTCTCGTGATCGAAGGTCCAACCAAAGTAAAATGGAATGGGACCGAGAGCTAGATTGGCTTCCACGGCCAAGACAATGGTTGCGATGCCCATAGGTAAGGTGAGCAAAACATCAATGCTAGCGAGCGCAAGGATGCGAAAGTAGTTTGTGCGAGATACCGATCCGTTGCTCTGCAGGAAGTGGTTGATTTCCCGACTATGGCGATAGAAACTCAGCGCGACATGAGCTATCAAGCTTGGGTGAAGACCACGGGGGGGCCATATGAGATAATTGCTACGCACGATAGTAGACGGTGATCGACACCAGGGGAAGAGTCACACTCCATGAATTGAGAAGTAAGATGCTGAGTATCGATTCGTCCGAATAGTTGCCACAACCAAAACCCTCAGTGACCAAGAATCGAAGAGCCTGAACAACGTAGTCTTAGGCGGTCTAAGCAAACAAGGAGCCTGTCTGATCATCAACATTACTCACAGAGGGGTCCTGCGACGAGGACAGGGATACCCAGACCCAGTACCCACTCTATTGCAAGATCTCTCCGTCTCTAATACAGAACTTAAGTAAAGAGCAATGGTCGTACATTGAGACTCACCGCCGCTCTCGTAGGAGGCTCTATGGATCGTAAGCTGGTGATCAGATACAGTCGGCGAGTAATGATTAGGGTCGCCATAGGTTTGACAACTGCAGTGATCTGTTGCAGACGTGATACTGCCCAATGTGATGTCAGTTGGAATGTCAATGTCAGGGAAGAATAAACAGCCCCGTTGAATATTTGCTGACCGATGTCGCAGTACACATACAGCTTGATGTCGGCATTATCTGACCATATGATAGTATCAATCCCGGCGGTCAGAACCTCGAAAAAGAGCCAAAAAGAGAGGAAGGCGACGCCGAGATTCCAGCTCTGGCGGACAAAGCTAGTCAGCAGTACGAGGAATAGCATCGCTGCAGCTAAGAAGCAAGCAATCGGGTAGAGGGGGTATGTGGGATCCACAGCCGCCATGGCGTGTGAACGAAATGTTGTCGACTCAATCTGTGAGGCGGATGTCTGCCCTATATATCTGTCACGCACGAAGTGAGGCAGCATCAGCTGGAGATATTCTTAACCTGGAGCCGAAATCATAAGCGAGGTCGCGTCCGCCTAGTGTCCATGATCTTCTCGTGACTATCAAGTACATCGTCAGTCAGGGCAACCAATGCACGCAGTAATACGGAATGTCCTTGTGCGCGATTGAACCTGCACGTCACATCGTAGCAGCAACGATCAGAATACGTGCAAGGAATAAGGTGTCACGCGAGAAGCTCGGCGCCCTTTCAGTGTTGGGAAGCACTAGGAACAGACATGGGTCTATCCTGCCGATGCATACGGGGTGCCGCACAAAAATATGCAGTGTTGCTGGTACGCTAACTCTCACAACAGAGGACTCAAACATAATGGCGACGACTTGGAGATACGGACGAAAGATCGTCCTCTTCTATGAACCTGTATGTCAGCTCGGGGAATGCAGACGCCAGACAGACATGTGCACACCTTGAACGGCACGAAGCTCGCGCATCTCCTGGTTCTAATGCCGTCGGCTAGGCAAATGCCATCGAGACGAATGGTTGAGGCTGCGAGGCCCAAGTCAGATGGTAGTACTGAGAGCATTTGAGTCAAGACACGTACCAAAGCAGTCCATGCGAGTACGTAGTGTCGGGGTCCCCTGCATGGCATCACCACGAGGTCGAAGAACAACGAGACGCAGCTCGTGCAATATTAGGGACGGAGCCTGCTCCGCTGTCATCAGGTGTCGAATTGATTGTTCTACGGGCTGCAACAGTCAAAGTTGCGAACGACACGGCTGAGAGTCGAGACTCGACCGGGGACCGCTTGGATTGAACTTTGTCCAGTATCTCTGGAACTCTGGAAGACACCTGCATATGCTGATCTATCATTCACGCGTCAGCACGTTTCAGGTCAATAGAGGCGGCAGTGAGGTCGCGCGCTCTGGACGGAACGGATAGCGCGTAGATGAAAGCGCGCGGGGTAACCGCAGGGCAAGCAAGGATGCTGCAGTATTCATGACGTCTCATTCGCGCGCTACGCAGCTTTAGATTAAATGAGGCCATTCTCATTCTGCAAGATGGGGCGGTGGTGGCGGTAAGAGCAAGACAATATTGCAGCGCGCGGCTGTCAAAGCGCGGCGTCGAACGGCTCGCCCTCACGGAGCCCACTTCTCTTCCAACGACCGCCACCCGGCGTTGATGACCAGCATGGCGCCGTCTCTTTTCCCTCTACCTTCGGCGCACTCGCTAGCATCTACCAATCGCAATACTCATACGTATGCCAACCCCGCCCCTGGACGAGGATAGGAAGCCCGCAGCTGGCGGTATCAAGCTTTTCGGCAAGACGAGCCGGTCACGAAGGGCGTGTTGAATTTGGGACGTGAGACGCTGTGTAGGACGCTACCGAGGGCCTCGCAGAAGCAGAAGATAAGGACGCCGCTGCCTCTTCACCCGCGAGCGAGGAGCACGAGAGTCAGGAAGCAGCCCGACCCAACTCATCGGTGCAGCGCACCGGTCTCGCTCTGCCAGCTACTTAGCTGAAGCCACCTCACTACACGTCTTCGACACACGTAGTCTCAGTCTCCGCTGCAGCCCACATCAACTTGGAACGCCGGTTATGCAACCCGCCTTTGCAACATTAGAACGGCGGAATGTGATGGGGACGGAGTGCGGCTGAGCTGTGGGACCGGAAATCAGCTCCGCTACTCCCAGCGGCCGACCGGGCTCGAAACAGTCGGTCACCACACGTCCCTACCGCTCCCCAGCGACTCATACCAGCTCCGACGCAGTCGGTATAAGGAGATCGACGGCGAAGATGGTACGTTGATCGTTCACAAGGATGGCGAGCAGGCGAGTTGGTGATGTCGACGCGAATCGAGATGGACGGCGCGTCAAGCGCACCAATTAGGTGGTTGAGGCGTGCGATGATGGGCTATGACGGATGTGCGTATTCGTCAACCTTCTGTATACGTATGTGCGCGCTTATGATGCTCGTCCGCAGGTCAACAAAGCCGCTACGACGAGCCCTATGTATTATGTTCTCGTTCCATAATCCCCCCTTCCCTTCCCCCTACTTACGATGCCCCTCGATGCCATAAACGTTTACACTACGATGCCAACACTCGTGCATTCACACTCAAACAACATAATATATCGATCCCGAAGCTGAATAGCTGTGACGCGCATACATTACGATACACTGAAACCGTGAACGCTCGAACCGGGATATGCAAAACACAACGAAACTTAACTGGAGGCGCGCAATCATGGCAAGAATACGCTCGAACTGCAGCCCAAGACTGCATATAGAACCTCGCAGAAACAGAAGCCACAATGGTACTGGACAAGCGTCAATGAGTACCGCCCTAGGCCGACTATACCAAGGCCGAAGCATCGCCACGGCTTGCTTCGTGGGAGCCGCCGGGAGGCTGTGTCCGGCGCTCTGCGTCTGAGCGTCTACCACTGTAAAGCTTCAGATTTCGCCCGGTGTATTCAGCGAGGGGTACATGGTACGTACATCTCCTGGGGGCGGCGTGCTTCTTCATCATCGTCCTTCTCCGACCCACTCTCCGTGTCGTTCCTTGCACCTCCGCCCCCTACGACCTGATCTTGCGCGCGGGCATTGGGGTCGATGTAACTTGCATTCGACCTAGCTCACCATCGTCAATCATGTTCTCGTGAATACACGGGAGAGCGTACTCGAGTCCCAGCGACATTGAGTTCTGAGGAGGCCGTTCGCCGAACTCAATGTCCTCCAACGGTGAATGCCCCCTGGGAGGTGTCGTGTTCCAGCCGAACCAGCCGCCGATGGTGCAGATAGTGCGCCAGTACGACGCGCGAGCTTCCGCTGTTATGCCAAAGAGAGCGAAGATAGCAAAGGCGAGAGCAGGAGATGTCCATTGAACGAAGTATTCCTGGGCTACCACAAACGTCCCTTCGGACACTACGGCTGCGTAAGAATAACTCTGTGGCTGCCATCCCGTGTGGTCGTAGGTCCAACCAAAGTAGAACGGTATAGGACCGATTCGAGCTACTTCATCTTCCACAGACAATACAATATTCGCAATGCCTATAGGCAACGTGAGCAGGATGTCGATGCTTGCCAGAGCCAGTATACGGAAGTAGTGTGTGCGGTTCACCGAATTGTTGCTCTGGAGGAAGTGAGTGACCTCCCGGCCGTGCAGATAGAAGATGCGAGCAACATGAGCTGGAGTATTAGGCATGAGCGTTATGAGATCAAGGAGCAATCGTCAGAGATGACCTGACGCACGATAGTAGATGGTGATGGTAACCAAGGGAGGAATGACAGTCCACAATCTGATAAGCAGGATGTGGAGAATCGAGCCATCGGTAGCGTTGCTGCATCCAAAGCCTTCAAGGACCTGGAATCGGAGGCCTTGAACCACGTAGTCTTAAGGCGGGTTAGGCAGGGATGACGACTCTCTAATCATCGACGTCACTCACAAAGAGGCCCTGCCACGAGGAGAGGGATCCCCAAGCCAAGCATCCATTCTATTGCAATATTTCTGCGTCTCTGTTGCTGCACTTGGCATCAGCAGAACATACTGTGCACTGCGACTCACTGCCGCTCTCGTTGGAGGCTCTATTGATCGTAGGCTTGTGATCAAGTACAGTCGACGAGTGATGATTAGCGTGGCCATGGGTTTTACAACCGTAGTGATCATCTGCATATGAGATACTGCTCAATGTGATGTCAGTATGGAGAATTTGAGTGGAATTGATAGCCCTCAGTGAAGAAACGCGGACCGATGTCGCAATAAACATGCAGCTTGATGTCGGCGTTATCAGACCATACGATAGCATTGATGCCTTCAGTTAAGGTTTCACAGAAGAGCCAGAAACATAAAAAGGCAACGCCTAGATTCCAGCTCTGGCGGATGAAACTGGTCACCAGTACGAGCAGTAGCATTGCTGCAGCCAGGAGGCAAGCAATGGGGTAGAGGGGGTATGTGGGATCCACGAATGCCATGGAGCTTGTTGAACGAGAAGATGTCGAGTCAGCGTGTGGATCGGATACCTCCCATATATACCTGTACGCATAAAGCAAGATAGAATCGGTTAGATATGTCCTTAATCTAGTGCGAAGGACGTAGTCGAGATCGCGTCTGCGTAGTCCTCACGATCTTCTCGCGACGATGTCGAGTACGTTGTCAGTCAAGGCAACCATTGCACGTGAATACGAATGGTATTCGTGCGCAAGTGAGCGTGCACGTTGCTTCGTGGCGATAACGCTAGAGAATAAGTGCACGGCAGTAAGACTCACGCGCAGGCCTCATCACCCTTTCGGTATTCATAAACTTACACGATGATAAACACGGTTCTGATGCACGCAATGCATATGTGTACGCAGTGCTGGACAAGAACTGGCATTCCAGGTGTCGATCTAGCTTCAACGTGTACAATAGAGAACTCTGGCGGACTGACGACAGCCCGGAAAGGAGGATGAATGATGGCTTTCTGTCCCGGACGTGTATCTCAGCTTGGGAAATGGCGACAGCAGGTATACCTGTACATACCTCGGATACTAGTACGCCATTCCCGCGTCATTGTCGCGCACCAGCTGGAAGAGCGCAGGCAGTCCATATCTATACGTATTGCTGAAGCTACGAGCGCAAATCAGATGGCGGTTCTGAAGGATAAGAAGTTCGAGAAGGTGCGTACCTAAACCCGCACGTCAATCGCAGGCTCGGAATGCTGTTCACATAACCACGATAAGATGAAGCACAGGCACACAGGCATTATTCGTACAGCACGGGAACGGCAATGATTGAGTTCATTGCTACCGGTCTACGAAAGGGATAACCGTCAGTTGCGGAAGCTCAAGCTGGGCGCAGAACGTATTGCGCACAATCGGTATACGCGCGCCTTGCGACCGCTCGGGTTCTTGCGGACCTTGAGTACATATTGGGATGTACTGTGCCTTCGTCAGGATGGCACGCGTATTCGTGAGACCAGCATGTATGATCTGCTCTGCTACGGAGCGACAGCCGTGCAGGAGATTGATCTACGGCGACTACGTAAGAGTTGGTCGCCGTAAGAGTTGGTCGCCACACCATCATTTTTATCGCTTGCGCTCAAGACACATGCAGCAGCCGACTCAGAACTGTTTCAAAGTGAGAGAATGCACTCTCATTCAGGAATGTGGTGGTCAATGGCAGCAGAACGAAGCAGACGGAAGAGCGTCAAACGGCGACCGCGGACCGCCGTGCACGCCTCTCTTCCTTACAACCACGGCCAACTAATGACAACCTGGCACCCTCATTCCTCAATCGACCTTCCGCACACTCCATGATCTTCAATATATGCCGGATACAAGAGGAAGTTCTCCGACGAAATCCCTCGACAAGGGCATAAACTCATCCATTCATGCCCCTCTACGCCTCCGCAAATCTCAGAGGTCTTCTGCGGCATGGACTCACAGAACGGCTGGAGCCGCGGGAAGAGCGAAGAGCATAGACTTTGGGAGAAGAGAAGAAGGATGACGTTAGGCTGCGTGGTACGGCTACCCTTGTCTGCTCGTCTGCGTCGAGTCTCGCTCATTGTGGTCATATTGTACGTAGCGCCGGACACGCAGTTCGGGGAATCGACCAGCACGTGCGACAGACGACGGATGACCTCACGCTCTCCTCCCTCTTATCAACACTTATATACCGGTCGCTCTCTTCCTCGCCTCTGTAGGCCTCTGTCTCCACGAGTACAGCTACCTTAGATCTGTCATATGACGAGGATACCCTCGACTCTCTGCGATAGGTGGCGTTGAAGCTCGCGTCTTCGGGGTATCAATTCAGGGCTGTCAGGCTGGCTTCGGGGAGCGTGTCGTGGGATTTATCCAATCGCCAATGCGAACACTGTTCAAGTACTGGTTCAATAGGCGTCTTCGCCCTCGCGTTGGACCTTATCGCACGCGGGCTAATGAAGACGTTGAAGTAAGTATGCGCGTTTCTCCTCACCCTACTCGTCCACGAAAGCTGACAGCAACCATTACAGGCTAATTCAGTCCGGCCGACGCATACACGAAACCCAGTACATAGTACAACTACAACGTTCATGTATGCGTATCATGGCTTTATACACATACCTCGCGCATCCCCGGAGCAAAAATGAGCCCATCCAGTCCACATCTCGCAAAAGATAAACAACGTTCGGAGAGAAAGGCAGCGTATCAGGATGACCATATATATGATGTTCGCGGCTGCCCGTAGCGGGCGCTTGACTGTAGGGATAACGAGCCGCCTGGACCGCGCCCGAATCACGCGTCAATCACTCCTGCGCGCCCATCCTCGCGATCCTGAAAGAAGTCGCCCTTGCGCCTGCGCCACACGCCTGGTCAACCGAGGAACATGCAGCGGACAAGCAGAGACACACCTTGCATCGCTCAGTGAGACTTGACATGCCTCTATAGCGTCCTCGTACGAGCCGGCTTTTCGTACCGCGTCTATTTCACACCTTTTGAACACAGAGGGCTCGGACCGCTGTTTCCCTTCTGACACATGCGCGCTCGTGTCGATGAAGCTCGGGTACGAGCTGGCATCACTGTGAGCGGAGTTTGCGTAGAGGTATGGCTACATATACGTACTCGAGACCTAATGACATGGAGTTCTGTGCAGGCTGCTCTCCGAACTCAATGTCCGCCAGTGGTGAGCGCGACCTGTGAGCACGAGGCGTGGGCTTCCAGCCAAACCAACCACCCACGGTACAGACAATGTGCCAGTACGACGCGCGAGCCTCCGATGTAACGCCGAAAAGACCGAAGATGACAAACGCGAGGAACGGCGACGTCCACTGGCTGAAGTACCTGATTGTCACGGTGAGAGTTCCGCCTGATACCAACTGGGCATATAAAAGGCTCGGTGGCTGCCAGTCCGTATGGTCGTTAGTCCATCCAAAGTAGAATGGGATGGGCCCCGAAGGTAGAAGCCCTTTGATGGTTAGGATAAGTGTCACCGTGCCGATTGGTAAGGTGAGCAGGATGTCGATGCTTGCGAGAATCAGGATCCGGAAGTAGTTCGTGCGGGAGACTGAGTTGTTGCTCCGTAGGAACTGGTCAATGTCTCGACTGTGGTGGTAGAAGGTCTTGACGACTTGAGCTGGATTGGTGGGCATAGGCGTCAGAAGATCTCAGAGCTATCAGACGAATAAGATCTAACATACGGTAGTAGAAGACGATGGACACCACGGGAGGGATGATGTTCCATAGTTTTGTGAATAGCATGCTGAGTACTGAGGCATCGGGGGCGTTGAGGCACCCGAAACCCTCGTCGACTTCGAATCGAAACCACTGGACAACGTAGTCTCGTGGCACTGTTAGCACGTACGATCCCTGTCAATAGTTGAGCGCAACTCACATAGGGGTCCTGCAGCAATGAGAGGGACTACAAAGCCCAGCGTCCACTCAATCGCGAGACCTCTACGTCTCTGCTGATGCACTCAGAGCTATGAAGATGAACGATAAACTGTGACAGACCGCCGCTCTGGTAGGGAGATCGATAGCTCGTAGGTTGGTGATAAGGTATAGTCGGCGGGCGATGATGAGTGTCGCCATAGGTTTGACCACGGAGGTGATCATAGAAAGGTGTGAAACTGGCACGATGTCATTGAGTATGCCGATAGGCAAGAGGTCAAATAGAAGCTCACCAATGTCGCAGTACACGTACAGCTTGACATCTGCATTGTCCGACCAGATAATGGTATTGACACCGCCAGCCAGATTCTCGAAGAAAAGCCAGAAGCATAGGAAGGCAACGCCGAGGTTCCAGCTTTGGCGGATGAAACTTGTTGCCAGTACAAGAAGCAGCATTGCTGATGATACAAAGCACGCAACAGGATAAAGAGGGTAAGTTGGGTCGACGGCGGTCATGGTGCGGAGTGCGATGGATGGTATGCTGGGGAGCTCCGCCAGTCGTGCAGTCAGTATATATACCTTACATCGTGGCAAAGGAAGCTTGACTGCTTGCGTGTGCCTATGCAAAGCGTAGAGACTTTCTTGGCCGTGTCGCGCGTGCTTGGGCGTACGTATCCTGTATCGTCGGATGATCGGCACTCTACCAAAGAAGTTGTTGGAACGAATAGATGTCCGATGAAGAGCGTTGCATAGCACCCTCAGTGGGAGTACTAAGCAGATGGAACGACAATCGCGATGCAAAGTAAGATAGCCCTTACACGGCCAGTACAGCGGAGGGAACTAGTCAAACCATCTGGAGGCAGATTGTCGCGTCTGCGAGCTTATATGTTGCTCATGTAGTCTCCACCGAAGATCGTAAGCCTGGAGTAGGAAGATTCACCTGTTCAGTTGCTTTCAGTACAGGTACGAGTGTAAGTATGATGTACCAACCTTAACTCAGCGCGCTTCCTTTTCACGCCGTCACCGGGCAACCGACAGATACAGGCTCTGGCGAAGTCAAGATAGGATACCCCATCCCTGTGCACGACGACGGCGGTCACCGGTCTGACGGGCGTCTGATAGACTGAGAAGCTACGTAGTCTGTATCTTCGACGAACTCGATATCGAGATTATATGCACGTAGAGCTGCAAACGTAGGGGAGCGGTGCTTGATCAGTGGATTTCGTGACCGTTAAGCGTGCGCCATGCGCCATGCTAAGAGTGGCTGTAAAGAAGTCATCATTCTATTGGACGTTGTGATGGTGGTGGTCGGGAGAAGGTCGCCGCCGCTCGCGCCGCGCCTCGGGCCGGCGCTAACTTCTTTCTCCTACTTTGCACATGACCGCGACCACCACTCGCAACCACTATGACCATCCTTACGTCGACGATATCCTCATAGCGAAGTTAATTCAACTCGGCGTCTATTCTGTATCAATTCAATAAGACTACCAGCTTTCGAGCCCATTCCGTGCATCACGATATATGACCACGACGCTTGGCCAAGAGGATCGAGTACCATCGCGGACGAGACGGAGCGGTGAACGATATGCGCATTTCCTCCACTACCAGTCGCGATGCGCGGACGAAGTCGGCGTCTTGGACGGTGGTGTGCTAGTTGAGCGCCGAGGTGGCGAAGCGAGGCGAGCTCGGGCGCAGGTACGGTCATTCTTGTTTTCTCATCCTGTCTGCAGTAGTGTCTAATGCAGAATCATACAGGTAGCAGTGCCATGGTCAAGAGTCTGCACGCAGATACGCTTGTATCATCTGCTCAATTGCATGCCGACGTGTATCGGCCTCCTTCAACTCTCCTCATTTGGCGCAGGACCATACACTCGCGTTTCCGCCATTGGGCTGGAGCTGGGCGTCTGATCCGAATCAGAACGATACTCGAAGCGTCCCCAGGACCAGAAAGTAGGTATGCTCTTCCCTTTGTTCTCCGTGCACTGGTACTCACCGCTTTATAGTACGGGATCCATAGGAGAACAAGGTCCCGGTCACAATATCGCGAAAGGCCATGCCAACGGCCCGCAGCTGCACAACTCGTTCAACGTCCCCACAAATCTTGGCCTTGCATAGACCCGACTGCGACGGACGACCGTAACCAAGCGTTCTCTCCCTCCTCGACCCTCTGCCTTCACCCCCGTGACCATACTGTCTACAAAGACCACACTGGGGCATTTGCGCGAGCAAATGGCGACCTGGCCGCAAGGCTACCGTCCAGTGTCCTCCTCGCCGTCCTCGGAGCTCGTCAATGATCACCGCCCTATACGCCGTGATAACGCCGAACCCACACAGCCGCTGGGCGCCTATCGGCAGCACGCGGGAGAAGCCTGAGAGTTTACGACTTCACCGATGCCGAGCGGCTGTGGAACATGGGGCGGCGAGCGGTCCGTTCTCGCGAAGGATTCGAAGGACGGGTGAACGCATCTGGACGGATAGCGCGTTGACCGTGGCTTACAGGCCTGTAGCGGGGATAGACTCAGCGAATAAGAAGAATGACACTCGGGTCGGCGAATCAGTACAGGTGCGCGATAGCGGCCCAAAGCAATCAGCGCCCATACTGACGAGCGCTCTCACAGGTCGATCGACTCGCTATACCGCCGCTTATTTAACATTATGACCACCCTCACACCCATATATCGGGGCATCCTGTATATGGCATACTTACAGAATATGAATATTGAGCAGCGAAGACGAGCAAATCGATCACGCATACAGATGAACCTCGATGAATGAACTAAACGTGTTCCTGCACCTCGAAGGCAGCCGGAGTGCTACAAAAGAAAGACGCTAATAGCGCTTGGCAATCCTACACCACGGTCTCGGCGCTGTTTGAGTCTGCCTGGTGAGACTCAGATGGCCGTGCTGGATTCACCGTTCCCTGCACACCTATCCCATTCGTCAGCCGGTGCCAAGCCCATATCCTATCGAAGGTGGCGTACGATCTTGGTGCACCCCCTCAATCGCGTCCTTCTCCGAACAGTCCTCCACTCTGTTGATGGCCCCTCCCATCTCTCCGCCTTGATCTTGCACGGACACGTTCGGGTTGATGAAACTTGGTCGTGAGCTAGCGCTTCGCCGTCAGTCGAGCACCCTCAACGGAAAACATCACAACGTACTTGAGACCGAGGGACATAGAATTTTGAGGTGGTCGCTCGCCAAACTCAATATCTCCAAGTGGTGAACGCGCTCTGCGCGTGAGAGGAGTCGGCTTCCGGCCGAACCAGCCGCAGGCGGTGTGAATGATGTGCCAGTACGATGCGCGGGCCTCTGAGGTGACGCCGAAGAGAACGAAGATGATAAAGGCGAGGACTGGTGATATCCAATTACTGAAATAGAACTGTGCTGCATCAAAAGCTCCGCCGGTGACTATGCTTGAATGGCTAACGCTGTCCGGTTGCCAGTCCGCGTGATTGAAGGGCCGGATGTAGTAGGACGGGAACGAGATGTTTACAGACAGAGTGTCTTGGACAGCCAGGACGATGATCGCGACGCCTATAGGTAAGGTGACCAAACTATCGAGGCTTGCAAGAGCAAGGATGCGAAAGTAATTCGTGCGGGAAACAGAATTGTTGCTTGCCAAGAAGTCATTCATATCCCGACTATGGCGGTAGAAAATGCGGACCACGCGAGCTAGAGTAGTGAACGTGAGCTTTACCGATCCAAGAAGTGATCGTATGAGTTCAAATCGGCGTACGATAGTAGAAGCCAATAGATACTAAGGGAGGGAGCACGAACCATGACTTGAGAAGCAGGATGCTCAGTATCGAGCTGTCGATCGAGTTGGTGCAGCCGAATCCTTCGATGACTTGAAATCGTCGCGATTGAACTGTGTAGTCTTTAGATGCACTCGGCGCGCTTGATTACTTCTGACGTATAGCTGTTACTCACAGATGGGTCCTGCAACAAGGAGGGGGATCCCCAACCCGAGCGTCCACTCTGTCGCGAGAGTTCTGCGTCTCTGGTGCTGAAGTTGGACCCGTGAGAATTGATAGTGCACTGCAGCTCACCGCTATCATCGTGAAAGGCTCAATGGAACGCATACTGGTGATCAGGAATAGCCGACGCGTGATGATGAGGGTGGCCATAGGCTTGACGACTGACGTGACCATAAACACATGCGAAACTGACAGGGTTACACATTACAAAGGTAACATGCTGTTGGGCGTTTACTAACGTTCACGCAGGGAGCAGAATAGGCACGCGGTATATTGGTGCAGATACTACTACATGAGCGGCCGCTCCGGACTTTAATGTCCGTCAGTGGGCGTTGCAGCGGACTTTAAAGTCGGCTCATCCCCGTTTTGGGACGGATCCGGGCAGGTACGAGCCCAAGGCACATGTTGTACACACTGGTACACA